TGAGGTGCACGCACTCCATCACCTCCAGCAATGCGTCTAGCAGAAGTCTTCACTTCTCATCCTGGCCCACGCAACTCGCTGCCCTTGCAGTGGCCCTGATAGAACTGTATTTTGAGCCAGACTGTCTACTCCATCAACTGGCTGCATTTTGTACAATGTCAAGCCTTTGTTTTTTTTAAAAAAATACACTTCAAACAGTACCAGCAGCTCCAGGTTCCCGAGACCTGGCTCCCCAGGGCGCTCTGGCCACCCAGAAGATGGGCAGCAACTGCGGCCCAGCTGCTTTCCTGCAGGTCAAGGCCAAGGTTCAGCTGGCAGAGCTTTCCTGGGAGCTGCTCTGTAGCAGAACTAACCTCATGATCACATAAAGCCACGCAGTAAAGGGGCTCAGGTGCTGCTGTCATCTTACAACTCGTGTAATCTTAGGTCAGCTTTTAGAGGCATCCGTGTTCGTGCTTCATCCCAAAAACCTGTGGGGACAGCAGCACAGCAGAGGCACATTAGCTCAGTTTTAAGCACACTCTTCTTAAACAAGCACATCCCCAGAAACGCCCGCAGTGCTCACTTGCTGCCTGGCATTGCTCTTGTGTAATCGGTCATGTCAGGTCTACTGTAAGACACTATAAAAATGAAACTTCTCCTGGGAGGTAATTGCCAAGTCATGTGATTTGTTTCTGAAGTTGAGGTCCTGTTGCCATGCCACAACACCCTTACATGTCAGTTATGCAGGACTGGGCACTAAAGATGGGTATCATGTCATCTAGGTTAAGGTAGATACATCTAGAAGTGATTCATTCTTAGAGATGAGTCACTCCTTAAGCGTGCTCGTTCCTCTCCACTGATAGTAAAGGGCTGGGTAAATAGCTCAGAGAGAGAGGTCTACAAAACACCTGAAACAGCCTGACCTATGACTTTGTAACTTCCTGAGAGAGGACGCTGAGCTCATGGGCCATTTGGATGAGCAGAAACCCATTCTTGAAACTAACCTTTTACATTTTAATATGGTATTTACCACTTGTGCAGCAATCCCAAATCCAGATTGTTGGCTAAGCAGCATCTCGGGATGCCTAAATCCCCCAGTTGGTGTTTTCTGTCTTTATCCGTATGTAACAGAACCACCACCCAGCTAACGAGCCTGCCGGGAGGAATTTGGAAAAGGGTGCTCGCAGGCCACGCTTAAAATGTGTTGGCAGCACTGTGCATGTGGGCAGTTCACAAAGCCCACACTTTAATTTCAGCTGTAACCGCTACTGCTATTAGACTCTCATTATGCGCTGGTGTTTGCGTGCGCGTGGAACAGAGGCTGCACCATTTAATTATATCTACAGCAGTGGAAAAGTCCCATCACGTCTATAACTACCAGCCTAATTTGAAACCCTCTTTGCTGAAGAGCAGGTAATCCCACCCTTGCCCCTCCTGCTCCTAGGAGTTGTTTTAGAGAATTTCAAACATGCAGCATAAAGGCTTGAGAGCTGAACCTGCCCTGAAAATAAAAAATGATAGTGTGACGCAGATTGAATTGTACCACTGCATCTTCTCATTTGTGGGAGACTGAACTGAAGACGAAGGTGAAGATGGTACGTGGTGCAGACTAGCAAAAAGCTGTTGAGTCATCTGACTCGCTACAGGCTTCGTGCATTTGAAAAATCAGTGCTCAAAACACCTGAGCAATAAATACACGGTGCCTTTAATATGTTGTCTCAGGTGGCTGCCCGCTCCCTGCACCCCCAAAATTCAGGCTGGCTTATTCCCAAGCCTCAGTCTACACCTAAATGTTTCTTCAAGAGGAGTAGCAATCTGTCAGTTTTCCTTGCGTTCAGGTAGGACCGTATGTGTCGAACAAAGTACCCCAGTCATTTCTAAGCCAAAACCTCCTGAATTCTTTCCCTGGCTTTAAGGCACTCAGCCTGTCCTCATGCCTCAGCATGTAGTTATAGGATACTTGTGCTGTGAGGAAATACTGGTTTCAGAGGCCCCTGCTGTCTTTTGCCCCAAACTGCAGTCCCTCCCTGCCCCTGTGAAATAATTTGAGTTTAAAGTAACCATACAAAAAGAAATCATTTCAGTGATCCGGCTTGCAATGTGGGCAGCAAGCAGTGTGACAGAGGGGCAGCAGGCTGGGGCTGAAAGCACAGAATGGAGGATTTTGAGTAGTTTTGTCACCAAAGCAAGTATATTGTTTATCTACACCCTTGCTTTTCTGCCCTGGGAAACACAGCTACAGTAGCTACTATCCTGATTAGGTGTCCTCTCAAGTGTTGTATATGTGTAGGCACTGCCTGCAAAGCTGTCAGCAATGCTTAAATTTGTACCTTGGAGCCTCACCTAGAAGAAATATCAAGAGCATGGTGACTGTAAAGGAGCGTGGAATGGGAGCTGTGCCTGGCAAGCTGTGATTCCAGGAGACAGCGTGTCACAGAGGCAGTTCACTGTTAACGTCACCTTCTAATTCTCTTTTTTTTCTTTTAGTGTGGAAACAGTGAATGACGGGCAGTTTCACAGCGTGGAACTTGTGATGCTGAATCAAACTCTGAACCTGGTGGTGGACAAGGGGGCTCCCAAGAGTCTAGGAAAACTCCAGAAACAGTCTTCTGCCAGCCTCAACACCCCCCTCTACATTGGAGGTACAGTGAGTTGCTCTGGTCTTTTGAGATTTTAACAAGTCTTTTCAGAAGCAAATCATCTTCCATCCTATGGAGAGGACACTCCGGGCAGCAGATAAACCAGCAGTTTGCCTTTCCCCTCTGCCAGAGGTTGCTTCCCTGGACAGAGAGCCCAGAAACCACACCGCTGCTGTTCTGCTTCATGCTCCACAGCCCACCAGCAGCCTGCTGCAGCTCGCACACCAGACCAGGGAGGTTCACCTCAGCACAGCACAGGCAATTTCTGTGTTACGAGCCATGGCAAGAGCAAACACTTTGTCATTTCTAAAGCTTTCGGTACTGGCTGGCACCAGGATGTCATGGTCGAAGAATACAATGGAAGTATCACAAACAGTCACTGCAAAAAAGCAGATCAATAGTTAATAGGTTTAAATATACCATAAATGAGCTGTATTTCTGATGGAAATTTTTATAGAGGTCTAAAAATTGGGAGGGAAAAAAAAGATTAACACATCCAAGCCATATTAACAGACAAGCAGGCTAAGAAGTTCTTGGCTAATAGTTTTCTCATTAGCAACTGAAGCCAGAGCTTCAGTATTAGAAAGATACAAGAAGTGACCAAACTTCAGTTAAGAAGTTTTTTTTTCTCCCATTCAGTACTAGATTTTGGGGCAAGGAGGTGCCAAGTGGGGTGGGGAGCAGATGTCCCGAATAATGAGTATCCCACTGATTAAGTGTCTGAGTATGAGGGACAGAACAAAGGCTGTGCTCTGCCCAATTGATTTGTTTTTGCCAGAACTCCCCCAACTCTATTCTCGACTGAATGTTGAAATCTCTCCGTTTCGGTGATGTGGAGTTCTTGAATTTTAGTCAGCCTATTCTAAATACAAGAGTCAGCAGAACAGTAATAGACACAGAAAGTCTTTGGGCTTTTTCTAATCAGATCATTGAAGCCAATAGTAGAAATCCTTACCAATTCCACTCGGTGCTGGTCAAGCCTTTTGTAAATAATTCCCTTTAATAACACTTTTCTAAAAGAACACTGAATATTGCCCTTGTAAATCAGCAAACTGGCTTATCTTGCTTTATACAGAGCTGAACTTTTATAATTGGCTCCTGCTAAGAATGTCACAGGCTATTAAAGAGCATTATGCATCAAAGATAATCTGCTGGTGAGGCCATCACAATTTCTCCCTCTAGCACAGCATAAAAGATACCAACCCCACAGCGATTTATACACAGGGAACTTGGGAAGTAATCACATGGAAAAGTTTTGTTAATGGATGAGCACTGTGGATCAATACTAATTTTCAAAAGGTACCTACAAAAATGCATTCACAGGACAAATCTGAGACCTGAAGTGAAGGACTGTTGGATGCCAGAAGCCGTGAGCTCAGTGGAGACTTTTTTTATTGCCTATTAATATTCTTCTTGCCTCTTTCTAAACCCTCGCTGTTCTGCATGTGCCACCTCTCTGCATGTACCATTCCCATGGATGCCAGCTGCCCTCCACTTCAGGCTGTTTAAAGTAATTGATTAAATTACCCCAGAGCAATTGTTCTAAACCTGCACTGAGCTTTAAGACAGACCTGAGCCTTCATGTGCCCAGAATTTTGTCCATCTCTCCGAGGACATCACCTGGTCTCACAACCTGCCTCCTAACACATGGTTAAACAAAGGTGCTGGTTTTGTTTTAAGACCATCTTTAGCAGTGGAGTTAGTTAATGATAGCAAATTCAGAGGCCTTAACGCAGCTGAAAATGGAAGCACTTGCCTTTGCTAATGCAGCTGCACAGCCCAGGCGGATGTCGGTGGGGAGGGTGTAACACAGCATCCAAAAGAATCTGCTGGCCATCTGAGCGCATGATCTCTTCCAAGCACTTGAGCAAGATGGAAGGTACTCACCACAAAGAGTTGGCCTGGTCTCCTGAAGTGCTGTTCGCTGCGCTGGGTTCAGTGGGGTGCACTCCTACCACTCCCTGTCTCAATGCTGGGATGGAGTAATGCCCAACTCCCTGGCTGTGTCCCGGAGGTGGTAGCTGTCTGCTGGCCAGTAAAGACAGTCTTTCAGAAGGATAATTGCTATTAAACTACAGACAGAAGGAGCATTATCTAAGGACAAGAACACATGGCCATCAGCCAAAAAAAAAATTTTTTTTTTCTTTTTTGTCATATACTTCTTATGTAAGCTTGGACAAATGATTTTATTTTTGTTTCTTTCCATTTCCAGAATGAGGACAATGAGACTGTGCTACCTTACAAAGGTCCTATGCAGATTAATTCTTTAAGGATTATAAGGGGCTCTGACAAAAGAAACATTAGCAATTATAATTTATGTACCATCATTGTAACTGTGGGTAAACCTTCTCTTTTTGTTTTTATCTGAAGGGATCCCGACCTCTACTGGATTATCTTCGCTGCGCCAGGGTGCAGATAAGACACCAAATGGTTTTCATGGATGTATTCACGATGTCCGCATCAATAACGAGCTGCAGGATTTCAAGGATTTACCACAGCAGTCACTAGGAGTCCTTCCTGGCTGCAAATCCTGTAACATCTGCAAGCACGGTATTTGCCGGTCCCTGGAGAAAACAAGTGTGATTTGTGAGTGTCACCCAGGCTGGACGGGCCCCCTGTGTGACCAGGAAATTGGAGACCCGTGTCTTAACCACAAGTAAGCTCAAGCGAACGCTGATGGGAGGGTGGAAGCTTTACAGCTAATGCATATTTCACGTTTCATCTTGTAAACCACATCTGACTATTTCTGGAGGTGCTGGGTTCCCACATGAAAATTGCTGGCAGTTGTGAGTCAGCATCCATGGCAACTCTCAATTTCCACTTCTTGTTCTGACGTTGCTCACTCTCCAAATTAGCCGTTTGTCCTGGAGGAGCTATAAGGTGTTAATACTGCGTGCTGTGCTCTGCACACTGGAATATGCCAACTCCTGTTAATGGGTATGGGTTATCTCCGAGGCGGTGAGTGCCTGCACCCAGCCAGAGCAGAGCTACCTGTGAGTGGGAGGTACGCGTTTTAGGGATGTGCTCACAGCAGCATTGGACCCAGTATTCAGACCAACCTCCTGAAGCCCATTATGCGCTCCACTGTGAACAGTTTTAAATTTCCCAAATAGCTGACTTAAATATTTAAAGTCTGAAACAGCCCTTTAAAGCCTGAGCTTAAAGGATAGCATGGCGTTGCATGCGAAGGGAGCATGAGTGTAAAGCATTCACAGTTCAAAGGCTGGATAACCACATCTCCATCAGAAAGGCTGAATGAATGGCTCACTTATGGCAAGGAGACGGGGAAGCAGTCCAGTGCAGAGCAGCGGCTGCACAGCTCAGTGCTGCCTCATAACCAGATGGAAGTACTTTTGTTTTAGAAGCTACTTTGGTCGCACTGTCTGTGCAAAGGGGCTTTCCACCAGCACATACTTTTGACAGGTAAATTGACACAGTGAAAAATCACTCTCTTTAGGGCAGAAATTTTACTTGGCGGAGGTACCGTTTTAAACTTGCTCCTGGGTCTCATTCAGTGAAGTACTGAGCCCTGGAAGGTGTTGAGAAGCACCTGACAGTTTACAGACCAAAGCTACGTAGACCCAAGTGAAGGAGCACTCAGAGGCCCAAATGTTTCCTTGAATTTCCAACATCAACATGAAACTGTTGTGGTTGGACAGAGGAAAATAGGGGAGTTCCAGATGTTTATGTGATGAGGGATTGTTTCTCTCATAAACTAAGGAAGGTGATGCAATCCTGACTGTAGCCTCCTTGAAAAGGAAAGAAGTTGTGCATATTTTTAATGCTCACATACCATCCTACCTTTCATTAAATCACTTCAGCCCTTTGGAGTTGTGTCCTTAAAGCCAAGGCCTTTGTGTCCAGGGGGGTAGTGTCCTGCTGGCAGGTGTCTGCTCCAACACTCACAGATTAGTCTGAGTAAAGAAATGCAATCGTAAAGAACAGGTAGTAGATGATAACAATAGTTACTATCTAAGCATGTCTTTGGTTCGTGGGGCAGAAAATACCAGTTTATATAGACTGTGACGCCCTTTATTACAGTATTTTGCATGTCTTGACCTGAATGTAAAGCTTTTTAGTTCTAAGCTATTTAGTTGTTTGCGCTTTTTAGTTCAAAGCTTAAAAATCAAATGTTTAAGCTTTCAACATAAACATAAATTTTAAGGTACCAGAAAGAAAATAAATAAAAATAAGAGAAAGACATGGATTTATGTCAAGTAGGACCTGATATAGCAGTGTTGCTTTCTTCCCTGCCCTCAGCCCATTCCAAGTCTATCCCTGTCCCAGAAGTGGGGATGGTGTCAGAGAACTTCTTAAGGATCAACACCCCTCCCTGTGGTATTCCTCAGAAATACCAAAGCTCGCTGCAAACCACATGAGCCAGGGAACCCTTCGGCTACAGCTGCTTGTAGATATGTCTGTGCACAGCTTTTCCACAAGCACCTTCATTTATCACGCCTTTTTTCATCACCTGATATTATTTGTAGAGTAGTTCTGCTAAGGAAGCCGGGGCATGCAGTTTGGTTGTTGGCACTTAGTTCTACACGCTGATGCTAGAAGTGTGAGCTGCCTTGTGAGGATGCCAAGTGTTGGTCCGTGCTCACGGAGGAGCTTAACATTTCTCAAAGAGATCACTTAGGATCACAAATTCTAAATGTATTCTCTGAACGTTATCCAGTATTCACTGAAAACTCACAGGTTTTTTTAGAGTGTTTTGACGTTGAACTGCTGGTTTTGGATTAGTACCCTGGAATTAAATGGGCAGAAATGCCAAAACCAAACATCCCTGGGAAAAGGAACTTTCATGTTTAAGACAGGCCAGCTCTAAATGCTTCTCTTTCTCCAGGTGCCTGCATGGTAAGTGCGTGGTGGCCAATGTTGCTTACACCTGTAAGTGCATGGAGGGCTACACAGGCACGTACTGTGACAAGAAGAACAATTCCTCAAATCCCTGCAGGATTTTGAAATGCAACCACGGGCAGTGTAAAATTTCCGAGCACGGGGAACCCTACTGCGAATGCGACCCCAACTACAGTGGAGACCATTGTGACAGAGGTACGCTCGGCTGCAGCGCCCAGGACACGGCCCTGCTGCATTTCTGGTTCACACCCTTGTTTTTACCTCTCTTCCATGTGACTTGTATTTGGGGGTAAGAGGCAAATAGTAGAAAATAAAGCTAAGTCAGCCTCGCAGAGCAATACAGGGAGGAGAAAAGAACCCCACAGCAGCTAGGAAGCTAGTATCCAAACATATGGGAAGGGGGACATCTGTAGCAAAGGGTTTTATTCTGTGTCTCCTACATCCTTACGGATTTCTACTCCCAGGATTCTGGTGGGATGTTGAAAGGAGAGGTTGCTGTGAGGTTTACCCTCAGCCAACAGTGATCAGTTAATTGCAGTGCTGGGAAAGGAGGTCTTGCCCTGCACACCAAGAGCTTTTGTAGATGACAGGAGCAGGAACTGGCAGGCAGGAGGCACTGCTCATCTGAAGTGGCAGTAAAGATTCCCATCTTGATCCCTCTGATGCAGCTGGGCGGGTTTCCTGGGGAATCCCACAGACCAGGCTGGACTTTTCCTACTAGGGCTGGGGCCCATCTCCTCTGCCCTGACCTGAAAAGACTCACTGGAGACTCAGTGAGTTCCATCTTCATCCCTTCTGCCTTCTATTGTTCCTGCACAGAAGGAAGGGGCTGGCTTGTATTACTTTTATTTAGGTTGTGCCTTTCCTGTGAATGAACCACAGACTTTCCAAATTATCCACATGCACAGGCTGCTGTAAAGTGGCTGCAGAACAGCACAGAGATTTTCGGGTATCCCATTGCTCGTGTCATGTGGAGCAGGATGACCTTTGATCCCGAGAAGCAGGCATAGTAAAACTCACTCATATTTTGCAGGAGTGTTGCAGGATTCAACACTCAGCATTCATTAAAGCACTTCCAGAACTGCTGATCAAAGCCAGCAGGCCTGCTTGGCCTCTGCCTTGTGCCGGATATTACACATTTGTGTAACACAAGCTCTGTTTTGATGGCAGGTACAAAGCAGTAAAAGATTAAGGTCCTGCTCATGCCATCTGTTTGCCTTGAATGTCATTACATGTGCAGGGCTGTCTGCTGATGTTTGGGGAACGTCTGGCAAAATAGTTACCACGTTTTGTTTTTTTTTTTTTCCCTTTACATCTCTGCTGTCTTACCAGAGAATCTCTGCCAAGGAGAGGTCATTCGAGAGGTGGTCCGTAAGCAGCAGGGGTACACGTCGTGTGCCACTGCCTCCAAAGTACCGCGCCTGGAGTGCCGCGGCGGCTGCGGCAACGGGCAGTGCTGCGTTCCTCTCCGGAGCAAAAGGCGGAAATACTTCTTCCAGTGCATGGATGGCTCCACCTTCACGGAAGAACTGGAGAGACACGTGGAATGCGGCTGCTCGAAATGCTCATAAGCCATTCTCCGGTCTCTTGCCACTTTAATCGACTCAGAAGCGCTATCAAAACGGGACCTATTTACTTGCAGAGTGAAGAAGAAGAAAAGAATTATTAAGTATATTGTAAAATAAACAAAAAATAGAACTTATTTTTATTATGGAAAGTGACTATTTTCATCTTTTATTATATAAAGTATCACACCACTTTGGGTATATGTATCATATAGTGAGTTATTTTTACCATGAAACTTTTTTAACAGTTGTAAGAAAAAAAAAAAATTAAAAAGTTAAAAGTTAAAAAAATATATATAAAGAAAACATAGCCTAACAGGAGAAATGTTGGGGGGGGTGACTTTATGTGTATGCACAATGAACAAATGTAAAGGTGTTCCAAGGACCTGCCACGGAACTGATACGGGCTGAAGAAACCTCCGAGGCTCTGGGTGGGTCTCCTGAGAGCGGATCCCCACGGCCATGGCCTGCTCAGGCAACCGAGAGAGCCTCCCCCCGGGTCCCTTGCTCTGCCTAACACTGCCCACGCCGTCCTGTTCCTGTACAGTGGCTCCGCTTGCTGTTCCTGAACTGGTTCCCTAGAGCACGTAGGCACTGCCGTCGCTTGAGGCTAACTGCATTATTTGACTATTGTAATACTATAATACATTTTTTTGCTGTGTATGTTGTATTTATCTGTGTTCACATTATATTCTTCAGCAACTGTATCTATAGAGCACAGGCAGCTTTATCCAAAAGAAGGGAACGAAGGGAAAGAAAGTGGGGAAATATATGTTGCTTTGGGAAATTTGGGGGCAAAATGTGAAGTGCTAAGTGATGCCTAATAAATGACATAGTACTTTTGTGTAAACTCCTCAGCTATGTTATTTCCCAAGTTTGTGCCTTCTTGCTCCCAGCCTCGAGCCCTTTTTTGTATATGAAATATAAATAAGGAATGCACTGCTACATAATTTGTCACGCCTTGACACTTTAACTTGCAAAGGTTGTAAAGAGCATGAAAATACTGCAGGTGCCAGAACATACCTGCAGCGTAATGGCTTTTACTCCCGCTTCAGCCATGGGTGTAAGCTGGGCTGTCGCTGCTGTTCATCCTCGCTCTGGTCCTGAGCAGTTGGCTAATTTTCCTACAGCTTTTTAAACGAGCAGAAGTTGCACTATATCCACGTGAAGGTGTTCAGCCAACGTTTGTCCACTTCAGCAGCGCTCTCTTCTCTGCACACGGAGGGACACCCCAGCTCCAGCCCGCCCTGCTCTCCCGCTGGCTGCAGGTTGACCTGTTCAGCTGAAGCTTCTCCAGCCGCGCGGCTTCACATCCTGCGCTTGTGTCTCCCGAAGGACTGCCGCTAACTTCCACTGTGCTCAGAGCAAATGCTGAATAGGAAATGGAAATCAATGCAGGGATACATTCTCACTGTGAATGTGAGGCAAAAATTGACTCTGGGAGTGAGTTAGATTTTTGGAGGGTTTTTGGCAGGGCTGCCTTTCAGGGTCAGTGAGTACATGCAAAGACTACCATGGATACCTTGAAATTTCTCTTATTGTAAGTTTCAAACATCCCCATCGACAGCTGTTTCATTATCAGTGTAATTTCTTTCTTTCCCTAATGTAGCAAGTATTTTGGTCTTTTCGTCAATTTCTCTTTCTCTAAGAGAGGTAAGGTCAGAGACAATTCCCAGCAGCCGTAAGCTCCTTTTAGTGACGCTCACTGGTCTCACCAAAAAGATTTCAGATCAGGGCCTTCAGCAAAGGATGAGTAGGAAAGTTGAATCAAGTAAACGGGGCTTTTGTTTGACTGGGGCTTTGGAAAGATGCACAGAACGCAACCCTGCCATGACCAGTATAAATGTTTATTTCCCATTACAGAAAAGTGACCATCTAAGCCATCAGGCAAACCAAAAGCTCTAACACGCTTAGCATTCTTCTGCTACGCCAATCACTCCTTAACTGCAGCAGTTCATTCGTATTTCTTTGTTACCACCAGAGCAACTTGAGCAGAAGGGACATAACCAATATAACAGACATCTCACAAAACAAGTGTCAGTATGTGGAGCCAGCAATCAGTGACACATACAACCGTTGCTAGTTCATGTGCCAAGCTCTGATTGAAACAGCGCAGCTGAAGAGCCAGGGAAAAACTAACCCCGGTTGGAAGTACTTCAGGCTGCATTTTATTTTCAATGTAACATCAGAAGCTCATAGCAGCTGGAGTTTGTGGTGTACAACAAAAATCACCCGAACCCACAACCTACAGATTTTAAAAATTTGTGCAAGTAACTGCAGACACTTGTGCAAATATGTGCCTGGCACACCACTACCATTAATATTTCATTCCTGCTTGAAACACTTCAATTTCTGAAGAAGCAGCTGATGGTGCTGGGCAGAAGAAACCCAGACCGAGCAGTGGCTTACAAGCCCTCCATGTGCTCTGCCTTACAATTGGTAGCCACTGAACTGCCAAGGCCTGCAGAAACACAGCCCCTCTTGAACAGCACCCAAAACTGAGTTCGCTTTGTCCCTCGAGCAGCACTGCATGAGAGGAAGAAGGTGACATTTACTCATGGCCTGGCACCTGCTGGAGGGTGCTTTACAAGGAATGACCTTGACTGGCAAGGCACAAGCCTTCAGCATCTTGTTAACACATCACTCTGGGATTGATTTAAGCAAAGTGACCAGCAACAACGCAGCAAGGCTGGCCCTGCTCCCGGCCCTTTTCTGCCACGGCACTTCAATGTTAAGCGTTGGGATAAAAAAACTAAGAAGATCTATTTTGTAACCAAATGATGCAATTTTTGTATGCTTTTAGGCAGCACTTGCCATTGGATAGTGACGCTTTATGTCAATGATTCTCTGACTGCTATAGAATTATTTTATGTAAAGATGACAATAAAAAGCATTCAGATGTGCCAAAAATGTGAGGTTAACTGAAGTGTAATTAGCTCTGAAAGTTTCTCTGTAACCTGCCTAATGTTACACTAGATTTCAAGAACTGCGAGTACAATGCAGTAGTTTTTACCTCTATAAAGTTTTAATATAAAGTGAAGAAAGATGCTTACCCTTAAAAACATGGCAATGCAGACTGGTGTGAACTGATGTATTTTATTAATAGATTCTCATTGTGATGTAAGTTTAAATAAATTGTTGGGTTATGGAAGATTGTAACATACCTTGTGTTGTGATGCAGATTATTTCTGTGTTTACTTCAGCTGTTGAGTCTGACCTTTTGGAGAGTGTGCGGTAGCTCACGGGAAGTGAGGGGAGGACAATATACATTCCTCGTGGACAAATCTAGACAGAGAACAGCTACAGTTAACTCAAATGCAGTATGACCAGTGGCTATGTATTTTTATGGCATCACAACCTAATCTTTTAGGAGTTTTACACACACAGATTAATTAAACCGCATAGTTTTTGAGCTTGGGTATTTTCTTCAATCAAATACTTTCTTTGCTGGGTTGGTGTTTTTTTTTTGAACTGTTTGAGAAAGGCCTGCAGCAAAAATACACTCATTAACTAATTACAGAATAAATGAAGAAATATTGGGAATTGGTGTCAGGAGGTGTGACTGAGAAAATGCAAGTCACACAGCCAACAGTGGATGACAGGGATTTTGTGATGTCCTGACACACGTATATTCCAAATTTGCTGCCACACATCTGTAGCTAATTATTATTAGTGACCCAGATGTAACATACCTCTTCTGCTCATTGCCTTCCGGCCTTAGCACAGAATAAAATGAAGCTCCCACCTCGTTCTCAGCCTTCCCTCACCCATGCCTCTGTGTAAAACTCACATATTGCTAATTATACTTCAAACTACAGCCTTTGGAGTTGCCTTTGCCATTCCATGCAAAACTGGTCACAGCACTCAGCCAATAAAAACAGTTAACGTTAATGAGCATCATTAAGCCTGAACTATCAAGGTTAATTATATAATTGTAGCAGATGGTAGCATTTTCACCTAAAGCAAACCCAGCTGAGCCCACTAAAAAGCTACCAGGCACTGTTCACAAATGTCTAGGCACTGGCTGAAGTCACTGCTTTGCACAAGAGTTATTTGTATCGCTCGTGGCTTTGCAGCACATGGGTTCCTCGGTCGGTGCTCGAACAACCACAGCCCAAGGATGAAACCCTCATTTGTGCTTCTGCTTGCAGTGCTGCAGGTATTGCTTTTTAGCCATTAGTCTGAGGTAAACAATGCCAAGAAACTCTCTATCCCATGTTCTTTTATCTTTGTTTTTTCTCGTCAGCAGGGACTAGTTAGATGGTGTTGCTGTTTGCAGGGTGTTTGGCTGTGGGGTTTGTGTTGTTCTCTGAGGGTCCTATCACTTCTGGTGTCTGTGACCTCTTTTATGGGTTACCTCCCAATCCCTACTTCAGCTTACACAAGCCAGCCTCACAGCTCAGTGGGCCAGACCGCCAGAATTGGCTTCATTTTGCCAAGCCCAGGGTACTCTTGAGTAATCCCTTTGGCTTAAGGGCCACCAAGGCTTCCAACTGGATCACTGGGCGGCAAGTCCTGTGTGTGAACCGAGCCAGAATGTTTTCTGGGATGCGCTCTATGGCTCCTGAGGACAGCTGAGCTGAACATCAAACAAGATGTCCCAAACCACTGGGGCAGGATGGGACCCCAGAGACTGTACTGCCAGCCTCAGGTTCAGCAGTGCACACCCTCACCCTCCAGCTCTGCTAGCCCAGCACCAACCCACCGTGATGCTGCCACCACGGGGGCACCTCATCCCTGTCCCTCACCAGGGACTGACGCCTACATCCCTGACCCAGGCCCTGCTGGCGCCGCCGCTGCCACCCGTGTCGGGGTCCCCGGGCTGAGGCCGCGCTGTCCCCCTCCCGCTGCCGGCCCTGCGGCCGCCTGTGCCCTCGCTCCTCGGTGCCGTTACTGACACCA